TACAGGAATGTAGAATTTAGCTGTATTTAAAGATATGCCTTAATGTATTTGTGCACTTTGGCCCAGTAAAATGTTTCTGTGGGAAATGTAGCCATATAGTTATAGTATTTCCTGGCTTTCTCTGTATTAACTTTGGGATGAATCTACTACTTTTCCCAATTGATTGCTTATTTCTGTTTTTATGGAGAAAGTATTTTCATAGCTTTGGCTTTTTCGTTAAAATATTTTTCTGCCTTAAAATGTAGGTTTTGCCTCCTGGGTTTGGTACTGTGCATATTTATGGCAACCAAACGAATTTTCCATCCCATTAAAGTTTCAGCAGATAATTTCAACAACTGATTCTGAACAAATTAAATGCTGTTACTTGGTGAAGGGTCATTAAAAACTCTCTGGTCTTTAATAGGATGCAATACCTTTCATTCAGTACGTCTTGAAATAGTTTTTGATGATTTCTCTGCCAGTACTGGACAAGACAATTGCTGGCTAATTAAGGACTTGCTCAGCTACTGATGGAACAAGTGGAGTTCAAGAACAAAAAAACTCTGATGGTTCAATTATCTGTTGCAAAAAAAAAAGACAAAACAAGTGAAAAAGAAGGTCAGAGCATGTGTGCAGGTATTTATTGGCTTGGTAATATCAACTGATGTCACAAAATGCCCAGTGGATATATAAGAAATAGGGTAATTGTTCTGAGATTTTTATCAGCTCTCTATTGGTCTTCAGTCTTTTTGGCAGTTTCTGGCATTCAGTAACCTTCCTTAGTGAAATACGAAAGAGAATAGTGTTTAAATTTAGTGGATGCAATATACAAAGCATTGGATAAGACAGCATTTTTTTTCTGGGCATTTTCACAGCCCCTGTGAGAATGGAGAAGTTCACCATTCTTGTGCAGTTAAAAGGTATAAATCTTAACATACTTCAAATAAAAAGCAGTGAAAAATTAGATGAGACCTTGAGACCTTTTTCATTCAGTTTTGTTGAGGTGTGGGCTTCAGTTTAAACTGAAGATAACTTGTGTGATAGACCCTTGCTTCATTACGAGATGAGAGAAGAGACGAGAGAAGAAAATGACATTACCTCAAAGAAATTAAAATAACGAAGAGATGTGAGAATAAAATCTGGATATTATGTTTATGGAAAAAATATTTTCTCGGAGAATTTGGAATAGAAATTCCTTAGAAGATAGATATTTGCAGGTTTCTAAGACTAACAGAACTGCAATTTGCATTTTGTTGGATATACAGAGCTCAAATAGAAATAATAGCTGAAGTGTTTTTATCCAAACTCCTTTTTTTCTTCAGATTTGCCTTCCCAGAAAGTTTCACATTGAGCCCATGAGATCTTGTAGATAATCTAATACAACATCCTGTTCAATTCTTTATTACTACAAAGAGGAGTAGGCTCTAGGAAGAAGTTACAGCCAAGGATCACTTGTGTACAAGTTTCTTTATTCAAAAAGGTCTTCTGTCTTACAGGGCCTACAGGTTTTGTAGTGAATTGTTACGCGGAGGTTTGCTGTTGTGGTACCTCTCTAAGTCTTAGCAAATCAAGTGCGATGGAGGGAGCAGGGCCAACATCTGAGAGGAAGAAATCTTTATCATTTCATAGGTGTGGAGCTATTTTCTGGGCACAAATATTGATCTAGAGGAACTCTAATGAGCTTCACCAGAAGCATGACCGATGAATGGCGTTAGCTTCAGGCCCAGCATTTTGGCTCTGTCCCCATCCAGGGGTTCAGCACCATGGCACCTGGTTCCCTAAGTTGGAAGTAAAGGTGAGGATTCTTCCCATGCAGATGAAGTCCCCACAAGGTGTGTGCTTTATGTGCCAGCAGCAGTTTTGCCTTTGAGCTGTCACATAAAAACTGATAGGTATTCCCTCGTAATTACACCGCTCTGTAGTAGAAGCATGCCAACTTAGGTTCAAAGCATTTTGCAGCTTGATACAATGCATCTAAATGATGCTTAGCAGATAGAGAACTAACGCTTGGCAGCTGTCTCCATTTATGCATCCATTTTCAATAATTAATTTGTTATTCTATGGCTTTTAAATGAAAGAATAGTAGTACAAGTTTCACAACTCCTGAATTCAGTATGATCAGAGAAAAAACCGTTGCTTCTGAATTTGAGAATAGTAAAGCAAGTTCTGGTAATATCAATACAAAATAAGATGCGGTGGTAAAGTCTAATGATAGCCATTAGAATTTTATAACAATTTTTACTGAAGAGACTGTAAGGGATTAATCTGGGCAGTTGCATTTGCACATCCCTGTAAGTGCGGATTTAGAATTGGCCAGGTATGTTGGGAGGGTCCTCCAAGAACATCTGCTGCAGTCTCCCATGGGAAGCTCCTTTCAGAGCAGGCTGCCTGGGGCTTTTACCTGTCGGTGGGTACGTACTTAATCTCTTCTAGGCCCAGGCACTGCTGCCCAGAGCTGTGGGTGCCCCATCCCTGGAGGTGCCCAAGGCCAGGTTGGATGGGGGCCCTGAGCAGGTTGGAGCTCAATGATATTTAAGGTCCCTTTCGACATAAGCCATTCTATGATTGTAGATTCAGAGAACAAGAGATGCAAGCTGATGCGTAGAAAATCTCAGCTATTCTGTGATCTTCTGGGCCTGACTTAAGTGCTCTCCTCGCTCCCTGCAGGTTCAACAAGCCCAGAGATCCTCTTGTAAGAAGTGACTCAGGGCTGCTGCAAGTAGTTTCTCTCTCTGTTGCTAAATGTAACCCATTTCGAACACAGCGAGGAGTTTTGCAGTGCTTCAGAAGAGAAACCAGCAATACCCATGCAGGGCAGTATGTGAGCAGGTGAAGGCAGGGGCAGGCAGTGCAGCTCGGTGCCATGGTGTGTCTGCCAGCATGGCCCTGCTCCCACTGGGTACCTTAGCTCTGCAGCTGCAGTCCTGCAAAACAGCACAGGAATCTGATGGTTTTCCAGTGACTCGATGGAGTTGTTGGGCTTTTCTGTTTGTTTGTTCTCTGTCAATGCCATTAGTGAGTGAACTTTCTAACCCTTCACTGTGCTTCTTGTTGAAATGTCCCAGGAATGGGACGCTTCACTGTTGTCATTTGGAGCGGTAATTTATTATTAATTATTCTTTCACAGTTGAGCAGTCGTGCTACAGCACTGTATTTATCCTTTGCCAACACACAGATGGGTTATTTGCAATGAGACAGTTTTGGGTAGGTACTGAACGTGGATTTCTGAGCTTCAGCTGAAGAAGGATAATTCTCCTGCTGCCCCCAGCCTGCTGAAGAGGTCTCAGAAAACCACTGATCTGCTCAGTGCCTGCTGGAGAGAAGCAAGATGTGTGAACCCGTGGAAAATAGCACGGCTAATTTTAGGAATTTACATTACTCAGAAAAAGGGTGCACTGCCAGCATTGAGAAGTTGCCCAGTTTCTGCTGCGCTGCTTTTCACCTTCTATAAGAGCACCTCTCTCCATCTCATCCCATATCCTCAGATGGACCTGCAGGGATCTGGGCAGTGTCCCCTCCACGCATGACCTTGGGTTGCATCTCTGTGGTGCTGCCTTGCAGCAGCAAGGTGATGGCTGTAAAGACTCACTGCTACCTGGGTTGCTTCATCTCTGGTCTGCTGTTGTGTTTGTTCTGTCAGGGCTCCGGGAAATAAATAAAGAAATCTCTTAAAATGTCCAGACTTTGGCATATTAAGCATAACAATCACAAGTGCTATAGAAGTAATTGGCACTGTGGTTCTCTCTGAACTCACACTTTCCCTTAAGCAGGTATAATTTTTGGCAGTGTGATAGCAGTGATACTGGTACAAGGTCAGCTCCCAGCTCTGCTTCATCAGCTCCTCACTGGGTTTTGGCCAGGCAGCACACTCCCAGCACACCTGTGCAGTGCAGGCTGCCTTGCAGAAGAGAAGTGCTGTGCTGCAAAGATCCATGACCTATTTTCACATTCTGCAAGTCCCTGAGGCCCTTTTAATACAGTGAGATAAATTCTCTTTCAGAAGGTGCTGAGTATGAGCAAGACACATGATTGGGGGCATGTTTGGTGAATGGCTCAGTCAAGGAGTTAGGCCAAGATTTAAACCATGCTGTGAACAGTCAGTGCTAAGAGTCCATTAAAACTACAATCTACCAGGATAATTCCTGCAAAAATAGGAATTTCTCATTTAAACTTGGTGAATGTGTGTTCTACCACTCGTGTCATTGTGGAATGATGCTTCAAAGGCTGGTTCACACAGGTCTGCCTGGTTTTTCTTCATTCTGTTGCAATACAGGTGCCATGCACGCAGGAAGCAGACAGCGGGGTGCTGCTTGAGTGCTGATTCCCAGCCATGACCTGGGGCTGCTGTCTGATGCCCTGGAGCTTTTCATACAAAAGTTGGATAACGTTATAGCTGTCTAAAGAAGGTTGATTGAAATCCTCTATTTAAAACTAAAACTAATGCTTTAAAGTTTCTGAAGGATGTGTGGCATTTTTGTTTTCAGGATCATAAACATGCTCAGTCACGCAAGTGATCACGGTGCAGCAGCTTTCACAAGTCTGTTCCATCTACAGAACTGTGTAGTGTGTTATTCCCATCAGGAGGAGTAGGACTTTACCCTTAGACTTAATGGCATACGGGACCAGAATGCTTTTAGAGGTAGAGCTGGAAAAATGTGCCCCGAAGGGTTACTCTCACACTCTGGTCGCAGTGCCTGAAATATGCTGTGTTAGCTGTGGCTTTAGGGTACAAGCTGTGAAGCATGAGAAGTCATTTTTTGTTTAGCAGCATCACCTCAGAGAAATTTTTGTAAATTCAGATCAAGCCTCTTTATTTCTATTGAAATCAGTGTTTCGTTTCCACAAGGAAGACTTCTTTTCTCTTGCACAGTTGTTACAAATGGTTGCTGTGTTATTTTCTAACCTGGAGTGAATTCTTGTGACTCTCACAGATGTTTATTCTCTAAAAAAAAAAAAAAAAAAAAAAAAAAAGAAAAAAAAATCCAACCAATTTTTTTGTTGTTTAACTTGTCTTTTTACAGCTGTTCAGTGAAAAGATAAGTGGAGCAGAAGGAACGAAATTAGATGAAGAATTTCAAGAGATGGAAAGGGTAAGGAAAACAACATGTGTTTTTCAAAATTCTGCTATTGCAGAAAAAGGGAAACAATGCAGTTAAAAGATTTTTATAGCATTTAGAAACATAAATGGGAAGATAGTGTAAACTCCTGATTTAAATGGCCTTGACCCCAAGACTGTGAGCTAGGCTATTTTTGATCTTTTTCACCTGGTGAGAGAAACAGTCATAGTAACAACTGTTGGGCTGGCAGGAAAATGTAGTCTGGAATGCATAAGCAGTATTCAGGACTGATGAGCCTGAAAGATAAGTAGCTCCCCCTGTTTTAATAGAAACCTTTCCTCCTCCTTAGTGCTAACTGCCAATTCACATATTTGTGGTGCAATCTTGTCACAAACATATAAATAGCCATTTATTTTAAGCTGCCAGATTTGCTTCATATAAGTATATTTTCATAAGCAGCTGGATTAGGATATTTAATCAAACTATAAATTTCTAGTAATAGATTTGCTTTTACTAACAATGTTACTTTTCTTTTTCAGAAAATTGATGTTACAAATAAAGCTGTGGCAGAGCTTCTGTCAAAATCCACAGAATATCTTCAGCCAAATCCAGGTACTGTAGTAACAATTGGGGTCAAATTTTGCTGAAAATTATCTTCTTACTCCAAATTTCATCCTAAATGGATAAAAGCTGATTGGGTCATTTTTGTGAGGCTTCTGGATGTCCTAGAGTACCTCACCTATGTGTACAAAGAACTGTACTGTGCAGTGAAACTATATAGTATTCATGCATCCTGGGATGTGTTCAGCTAGGATTGCACATTGTGTGGTGCTTACTGGGCACGTGTAGGTTGTGTGTATGTGTGACATGTATTGGATGGTAATACAGCACTATTGGTGTTCCTATTTGTGCTGCATTTCCTGCAGTGGGATGTGGATCCCTGAAGTGAAGAGAATGCCATTGAATTTAACTCATGCACTGATGACATCGGTGGTACTGCAGGTTATGTAGCTATGGGGAACATGGCTGTTACATTCCTGCCCAGTGTCTGAGTGAAACTTTGCCTTTTCTGGACATTGTAAAGTCTGAGTGGATTTTCAGTAGTCTTTTAAAAGGTTTCTAAAATTTTGGTTTGAAAAAAAGAAAGACAACACATCTACATTTACTGTTGATCACAAAGATTATCTGTTAAGAGTTAGAATCACTGTCCAAACCATCTGTTGGAAGAGCCTTCTTTTTTTTTTTTTTTGAGAACTGTCTGACTGAATTCATGTTTAGTCTGCTGAATGTGATGATTTCAGAGATAGCTGTTTGTTTTGGGTACCTTACAAGATGCACATCACCAGAGAAATTCAATATGCTGCTAATGTCTTTAGGAGAAGCAACTAGTGGGTTGTGTCTACAACATGATGAGACTATTCAGCACTTCAGCAAGGCCCAGCTAGGGTATTCAAGATGTAGCTAGTAACCATCCATGGCTCATATTTCTTAGGAATTGCCCTACCCTTGGCTATTACTATGTTGAAGTAGCTGTTGAGTTGATAGTAGGAGTAGACTGGAAAACGTTCCAAGAATACCCACATGGTTTTGTCGTGATATGAGCAGCCCCAAAATAAATTAATTTGCATGCATCTGTCTTTTCTGCAAGAATAAAAAAATCACTGCCTTGAGTATTGGAACCACAAAAATAGTGGGGGAAAGAAGTCCTACAAAGTCCTCATAAGCAGGAGCATGAAGTTGGAGTTAGCTGTACTTTTATGAGCCATTCTGCGTTTGCTATTTGCGCTGTCTTTAATAGACTTCATAAACAGAAATAGCCAAGGGAATGTGAATATTGGTGAATATCCACAAGAGGTGGGAAGCATTCCCCCTGTGTATCGGTCTGGAGAAATGTTGCCCATCCAGCTGAGAATAAAGCAATTTCATATGACCCTCACTGTTGAATGGAATCTTACTTCAACTTTTGAATATGAAATACTGACAACAAAAGATTTATGGGTCTATACAAACCAGTTTAGTGACTTGCTTTGTGAGATTGCTTGTTAAATGATCTATTGCTTTAAATATATTAATATAAAAATTGTTTTTATAACTCTTGTTCTTTTTCATGTTCATGTCCTTTTTAGCATACAGAGCCAAGCTGGGAATGCTGAACACTATGTCAAAGATAAGAGGACAAGTTAAAACCACAGGCTATCCTCAGACAGAAGGACTCCTAGGAGACTGCATGATACGGTATGGCAGAGAGCTTGGCGATGATTCTATGTTTGGTGAGTTTGTGCACCTCCTTTGAGAATATTTCCATGTAAAGTTCTTCACAGAATATTACTCAGTGACATAACCTAGTAAAATAGCTAATCCAGGTAAGAGAGCAAGCTAAATACAGTGATTAGGGAATGATTGATATAATAATACCTAATGCTTCTGTGTATTTGTTCACCTCTGTTGCAGCTGGATTCTATCTGTAACTAATTCTGTTTCATGGTTGATATTAGTAAGACAAATGTTTTGTTTCTAAGTTGCCAAAGAATAATTTAGAGCAATCCGTATATGCAATGTATTAGGTTAGATATTAGAAGGAAGTTTTTCACACAGAGGGTGGTGACGCACTGGAACAGGAGGTTGCCCAAGGAGGTTGTGGATGCCCCATCCCTGGAGGCATTCAATGTGGCTCTGGGCAGCCTGGTCTGGTGGTTGGCAACCCTGCACATAGCAGGAGGGTTGAAACTTTGAGGTTCTTTTCAACCCAGGCAATTCTATGATATCTGATAAGTAAAGATTTTCTTGATGAGGTGGAGGAGGGAGAGGGAAAGTCGGTTACTTTCCAAAGGCCTACAGCAGACACAAATATACCTCCTTGAAAGAACTGTATTATAAGATACGGTTTTTGTTTGTTTTTCTTGAAGGGCTTAAGAGGAGATGGGGAGAGGAACACAGGGTATGCTTTGGAGCAGAATATTCCAGTACTAATTTTCTGTAGGAAAAAAGCAAACATTATTTCTTATTTTTCAAGGGCTACAGCAAGTGCAAAGGTGCCCACTTCAGTTTTATTATAAGATGCATTTGTTGTTTCATGTATATTGAGAGATAAGTAGCACATTCTTTACCATAGGCCTTGCGCTGCTGGATGCTGGTGAAAGCATGAAGCAAATGGCAGAGGTGAAGGACTCGCTTGATATTAATGTCAAACAAAATTTCATTGATCCCCTACAGTTACTGCAGGACAAAGATTTAAAAGAGATTGGGGTAAGTTGTGCAGAGTAAAGCTTCATTTACCGATAATCAGAGTCAATCAGGCTCCAGTTCTCTTAGAGGTTTTTTTGGACACCTAAAGGTAAATAAATGTCATTGCATTTAAGCTTATTTCTCTAGCAAAGTAGTGGTGAAATCTGCTTACAATTAATGTCTGGCTGTTTTTTACCATAGTCTAGCTCGCTCAGTTTGCTATGTTGCCTATACGTTCAGTACAAGAAGGTAGTGAAAAAATATATTCCTTTTCTACTGTTTTGTTTTAATCAACATTTGGTATTAATTGATTTGAACATGTGAATAGGTTGTGATTTACTTTGACTCATTATTCAGTCTTGCTGCCTCAGTCACCTATAGCTGCTTATTATAAAGGCTGAATATGATTGTTGAAGAGGGCTATTCAGAGCAATTCCAGAATGATCTGAAAAGTGCCATCAATTGCTGAGTGCCATATTCCACTATGGGAAAAAATATAGGATGCTGAGGAACATATTTTTAACCTTCAAAGTGAGGTTTTGTTTACAAAATGACAATTCAAAAGAAAGCCAGGCAGTCTCGTCTGAGTCTGTTGATTCCAATAGACTTTGGTAATAAGCAAGTTGATGAAATGCAGAAACAAAAGTTTGTGTATTTGTTAACACGTAAATGGAGGTGAAAAGCATAGCAAAAGGCAGAAACTGTGCCTTGATATCTGTAGCTGTCTCTTACGATACATAACTGTTTTCAGCTGTAGTTCTTCTGAACTGATAGAAAGAAATTGTTTGATGTTAGCTTTAATGAATGTTTTTTACTCTCACTCTCAGTCCATTCTGTAAGTCTGTCAGTCCCCTCGTTTTTGGCAACAGAAAGCTTGCATAGTGATGTCAGATAGAAGTCTCAAGTTGACACCTAACGAAGAAAGTAAGAATATAAGATGTGTTGGAGTACTGCCTAGGGAATGAGAAGAGAAAACAACTCTTTAACTGTTAGCTGTCATATTGCATATAATACAAGAGGTAAAATTGAATTAAGTATAGAACAGGGGAGGCGGAGGGTGGCACATTCAGATGTTCTGAATTAGAAGCAGGATCCAATTTGAGATGTTGTACAGTTTAGTAAAGTCCTTTCCAAGAGCTGGATGTCTAAGTTTAGCAAATCAAGGTAGCCAGTTTCCTGAGCCTTAGCAGATGGCTGTTTATTTAAAGTATACACAAATTAAAATTGTATTCATGTATGCAGTCCTGGACATACCTGATGCTGCCTTAGATCAAAGGAATGGGCTGGATAATCTCTGAGCCTGGTGTTTCTTTTGATTCTGCATGTGTCTGTAATCACATCCATAAACAAGACTTCCTTAAATCACAATGAGTTTGTATGGGCCTATCTCATTTGAACCTTCTCCTAAATGTTCTGTCTTACTTAGCATCATTTGAAGAAACTAGAAGGACGGCGTTTGGATTATGATTATAAAAAGAAACGTCTTGGAAAGATACCAGATGAAGAAGTTAAACAAGCTGTAGAAAAGTTTGAGGAGTCAAAGGAACTAGCTGAAAGAAGCATGTTCAATTTCTTAGAAAATGATGTAAGTCTGTCCTTCGTTTTTGTTTACTGCAGTATATCCAGATGGGAAATGCATGTGGGTTTGGATGAAGCTCGTCTCATCCTTTATAGAAGGCAAGGACTGAAGGCAGAGAATGTGCCTTTCTCCTTGTCTTGGAGAGGAACTTTGTGCGCAGCGGCACATGGAAGAACTCAAGAATTCAGCGGGTCAGACAAGACTGACACAGAGGTTTCATGTATCTTTATTATCCATGAGCAGTGAACTGTCTGCATACAGAATGCAGGGAGATGAGTGGGAGGAAGAATGGGGATTAACATGGTCACAGAGCTGCTGCTTAAACCGGGAGCAAGAGATTTGTAACCTGCACTGATTTGCAGGAGCAGCTCACTTATACAGAAAAAATTGTTGCTGATCTGAAGGATCTGGGTGATTTGGACTCCACAAATTACAACTACGTTCTGGTTCTAAAAATTACTGCATAGAGTTTATGTGGGTTGTGCTCAGGTACTTGAACTTTGGCTCAGATTCCAAGTCCACAATCAAATTATGTTTAAATAATTAACAGCTGTGGTCTTTAGGATAATCCCTCTCTTCAGTGCATGTACAGAGAATAACAGTGTGCTCTCTTCTTGTGTTAATCATGGAACTGCGTGAGAATAAAGCTGGATAGATGTTATTAGAGGCCATTTCACTGTCTGTAGGTAGAATACAGGATATCCTTTTTTTTCTAATAAGTCTCCATCAGATAAATATATATTTGGCTGGAATATGAAAGACAGAAGCAAAAAGAGGAGGAGCTGTTAAGTGAGATCATTTCAATGCAAGAATTCTCTCTGTCTAACTGCATATCAGCCAGCTATAAACCAACCTGTAGCTCCCAGACTGCTTGTGAATGGGATGCGTTTTTTACAGCCGAGTGTAAGTCAAAAACTCTCTTGCCATTTTACCAGCACAAGCTATATGAAGGCAGCAAAAATTAAACATCCTCTATAAATAATTTCAGTTCACTATTCCTGGTATTTCACTGTAGGCTCTACCAAGTTGCCAGTGTGTCTTATTGTTCTTTGCATAAGCAGCTGAGAAGTGTTTCAGGTGTTTATCATTAGCCAAAGCACCAAACCAAAGATGAAGCAGTGCGTGGATTTATAATGAGTTATCTGAGCAACAAGAGAACTGATCAGGAATGACTTACCAGCATAACTGAATCTGCCTTCAGGAGGGAGTTGAACTGGATGTCCCTGTGAGGTCTTGTTCCATCCTCACTTTCTTTTGCTTATATTTCAAGAAAGCTGTGCTCTTTCCTTCTGATGTTCCATGCTGACCCAACTGCCTCCCACCCTCAAACTTCTCATTCCAGCCTTCTTGTCTAACCTCAGTTTTTCTCATCGGGTTTGTAGAGATGCTGATTGCAATCACTTCCTAACTGTCCTTCCGTGTTCCCAAAGTGTCTCCCTTTCTTTCTGTTTCCTTGCAGTCTGTTTTCAATGCTCTGGTTCCTAGACACCTTGCCAGGTGCCTCTCCCAGACACAGTCCCGATTCACATCTTTCTCTCTCTTTTTTTTTTCTTCTTTTTTTTTTTGCACTGTTAGTTTCAGACCTCCCACACTGACACTTTGCATGCATTTCTTATCAGATCCATCTTCCTGCCTTTCCCACTCATCCAGTTTCAGGCTCCTCACGCTAAATGCCTTTTAGTCCCACAAGTCTCTCTGGCTCTTTCCCAGTCACTCCTTTTTCTCCAGACCCCAGTTCCATATTCTTCCCAGCTCTCACTCGTCTTGTCTTGACAGTCCTTGTCTGTCTATTTTCTGCAACCACCCCATGCAAACCCCAGGCACACTGTGTGTTATCCTCAGCTGGTTTACATTACTCTCTTGACTTTGATAGACTTGTATCAGCTGTTAATTCGGTTCTGTGCATTTGATTTCTATATGCTGTGTGATGATATTTGGCTCTCTTGGAGTCCCAGCAGAATTTCTAATAGTGTTTTCAACTGAGTAAAAGCAGAAAAAGTAGAGCTTAAAATTGCCATGGGTCCATTAAAACATTTGCAGAAAGATTTCACAGACACCTCCTTGTGATCCAACATGTGAAGACATGGTGGAATGGGAACATATCAGACTTTTTGGGCTCTGTCCTCCTCCTCCTTGTCTTGAAGGAAAAGTACAAAAAAGGAGGAGAACAAATAAGTATTTGTTGTTGTTCCCTTGTAGTTCATCTTAAACTTTTCAATTTGCACTGGGGAAGAGGAATGAGGTTATTACTTTTTCTTCCTTTCTTTCTTTCTTTCTTTTTTTTTTTCTCCTTCACATTCTTCCTTAGCATTCACACACTTGAAAGACTTGCTGATACTTCTTCAAGTAGGTTTGGATAATAGTAGATAAATTGTTTCAGTTATTGGTTTATATATAAAATGCTGCCATCTAGTGAGGTAAGTCCAGATGATTTCAGAACTGTAGTTCATAAACATGGCTAATAAGCAGTAATGGGTCTGAGTCACAAGAGTTGTCACAGTGTAATTTGTCCCAACATTGCTGATCAGAAAAGCTCCACTCTCACCTGCTAAGGGGTTGTGCACTGTAACTGTTTCAGACTCGGGTGTTGACAGACAGCTGGCTTGGAAGTTGAAAGCAAAAAGGATTTGTACACTGTGAAAGGAAATGACTTAAGGACTCAGCCCTGAGTTAGTGAACTAGAAGTTACACCTCAGTTTTGTTCAGGTTCCAACTGGCAATTCCTTTGATAAAATCACATATGCTCTTTTTCAATGGTCCCACAAGGTATCACGGTCTTTTAAGATACCAAATCTGTTTTGAATGATGTTTGTTTATCCTTCAGCTGAATGTAGTGCAGGCCCTTTAAAACTGTTTGCTCTCTGTCTTTCAGGTAGAGCAAGTTAGCCAGTTGGCTGTGTTTGTAGAAGCAGCACTAGATTACCACAAACAATCTACAGAAATATTGGAGGATCTGCAGAGCAAGCTGCAAAACCGGTAAGACTGAACCCATAAGAAAACTTTGAGTCCCTTTTGTAGTTCAGGACCTTGAATATGAAAAGTCACAGAAGCAGCAGATCTTCTTGCACCACAGATGCACGCTTGCTGTGCTCTTGTGCCCTACTGGACTTCATTGCTTTTAAACCATTGCAACCTGGCTATGTATTGCTGGACTGTGAGCCTTTAATGTACCATGGGATCTGTCCAGCAAGCTTTGAGAGTGTCCAGACTCTCTCCCTCACATCTGCAGAGGTTAAGTAGGACAGCCTCAATTTGTTTGTAGATTTTGTTGAACTTGCATACTTTCTGAACATTGTTTTGGAGTCTTTGCTGGGCAGTTGGTGTGTTTTCACTGAGATTATGGGCAGAACAAAACTGCAGCAAAATAAAAAACTTGCTAGTTGGCTAGGAATATAGTTGTGATGTAATGAACTTGTGAAAAGCCAGATATTTTTGTGTCATACTAATAGAAAAAAAGCTGCTGTCATTAATTTGTTGTACATCACTCAGAAAAGCAACAGGGAACAGGAGACCTTAATGACTTGAGCACTGCCATAGCATAGGCTAATAATACAGTCAGAGTCCACATAACTTCTTTGAGGCTTTCCTGAGAACAGAATTGAAGTGATGGATGTGAGTACCATATAGGAGTAGCAGTACCTGTATATCCTGCAACATTCTTTCTGAATGGCCAGTGTAATGGGTTGGTCTCAGTAGGGCCACATGCACATATAGGAAGAGGTGCTGAGGCAGATTTGCTGTTCAAATGATTATTTCCCTTTTTTTTTTTTTCTAATGAAAATGCACAATGTGAGATGCAGTCCCTGGGCCTCTGTCCTGGCTGGGCTTCTGCATATGTCATTTACAGCTGAGCTTTCCAGACAGCTCATTCCTGGAACTTCTGCTGAACTCAGTGGCAGCTGTGGATGCTCAGCACTTCTCAGACTCAGGCTGTTGAGCTTTTTTTACCTCTGTCAGCAGGACCATAGCATTAAATAAAATAGGGCCTTGCTGAAACTCATCTACTGCATTAGAATTAAGCAGCGTTTAGTGAATAACATTTCCTCACACCTTCCTCCAAAAATTTAATAGAAGTCCAAATACAGCAGAAAGATTTTTCCTCACCTTTCAAATACAAAAGTACTGAACCTGGGTGGAAATTCTGTGAGCATTTGTTCCTTCGAGTGAATCTCTTGCCACTCTTCTCTGTGTTCCAGAATAAATGTAGCATCTAGTCGGCCTAAACGTGAATTTAAGCCCAAACCTGTAATAACTACAACTCTGGAAACTGGTGATAATCAGCAGCACAATGGGATTGCATATAGTTCCTCTATAAAGTCATCAGGTAAGCCTGTGGCCACAGACTTAACATTTTGGTGGCTTTTTGTACCAGTTTATTGCTTGTTGCATTGCTTGTACCATGCGAATGATGGATTCATAGGGTATCCAGATATTTGACTCCAGTTTGTTCCCCAGGTTTGGAAATGGAATTGTGAAGCCAGGTTTCCTCTCAACAATCTTTTACCATCTGAACTGGAGGTGTGGCACTCTGCTGGGTTTTTTTAGGTTCTTTGTATTGCCACTAAGGGTGAGAGGGGAGAGAATCACTTGCAGAAAGCATTTTGTTTCTTGAAAAGACAGATGCCTAATTGGGCGTGTTAGATCACTGTCTGGAATGTCTCCAGTTGCTAATTTCTCTCAACACTCTCTGTGTAAGTGATCAGCACAGGATCTTGACCATTAGCCATGTAAAATTCAGGGAGACTAATCCCAGCCTAACTAATTTTATTAACATAATTTACTTTAATGTCCTTTCACTCCCCTGAAATACGCACGGAAATGTGTACATTTTAGCTGAATTACCCGAGGTGTTCAAGGCCAGGTTGGATGCAGGCCTGGGTTAAAGTGATCTAGTGGGTGGGAACCAGCCTGTGGCACGGGTTGGAACTCTTCCACCCCAAGCCTTTCTGTGATTCTGTGACTCTTAGATATCCCTTGCTGTGGGAGTAGGGTCCCTTCTTGTAGTCAGAGCCTAGTTCTACTGAGGAAGGGAGGGGAAAAAAAAAGGGAATAACTATTGAAAGCCCATGAAAGTTGTGTAAATTGTAATAATGAGCATGGTTACCACCACTCACTGAAGTAACTTTTTCACATCTCATGAATGAATTTTTTTGTCCTATCTCCCTTATGCCTGTGGTGACAGACCAATAACAGAACACAAAAGACAATAATATGCAAAGAAAGGAGAATGAAAAAGCCATTTTGTTCTATCAGTGTTATTTGTAAGGAAAATAGAGAGGAGTCAGTGAGCCCAAGGTTCCCTTCTATACTTGGCATGAGATCTTGGATCTTTTTCAGAGGTTTCTTTTTTTTTCTTGTTTGTAACTCCAGTTTCTCTCTTCTATGGTCTTTCTCCTTTTTAAAGGTCACTGAGAGAGAAACACAGGAACTAAAGGTGGAAGAAAAATAGAGCTGTAACTTCATGTTCTTTCTAGAATCTCTTGAATTTTCTTCTACTCTGGTACGAGATGACGCAATTATACAATCCATGCTGAAAGGGATTTGCAGCACTTTGACAGCATAAATCCACCCAGCAGGATCCTGTCCCTCATCTTGTTTCTTTTGTGCTTCAAGCTACTTGAGGGTGTGTTAGTGAAGTTCCCTATGCTGCTTAAATGCCAATACAGCAGTTCTATAATGCTGATAAATGTGGGATTGAGGGAGATAACCCCCTCTTTGCATGAGGGCCACTGGTTCCTGAGGCATGATGGAAAAACACCTTTCCTTCAAAGTACTAGGAATGTGTGTAGCAATGTGTAAATCCTTAACTTTCTAGTTATTTTCACTGCACATCTGGATTTTCACAGCACCTTACAGTGGTTTATTGTTTTCACAAACAGTATGATCTAAGATGTACTGTAAAGGTAAGCAGCCCAGCCTTTGGGAGGATGTTAGATGACTTCTCAAGGATGCTGCAGCTTGCTTACTTAAAAGAAAAAAAAGCCAGTTTTATTGAGCTAAAATTTAGTGAAAGAACTGAAAAATGAATGGCCAGTGATCAATAAGGTGGGAAAGGAGTGAGCCAATTCCATTTGTTGATTCCATTCATACACTACAGCAGCAGATCCTTGCTTCTAATGATGGGTTTTCACTTACTGCTTGGCTCAGTCAGTGTTCTCAGTACAGAAAAGAAAACATAGTCATAAAAGAGAGAAAGAGGAAGTATAGGAAAAAATTAGTTTCAGTTGCTGCAATTAGTGTTGTTAATAGTATCATAAAGACTTAGATTAATCTCACTTAGTATTAAAAAGATTTAGACTCAGTAGTTTTTTTTTTTCTTCCATTAGGTTCTAAAGCTGTGGATTCTGTTTACGTCCTGAAATCATTATTTATCATCTATCTTTCTGTTATATATATGAATTTCTATGGAGTTACAGCAGGGTGAATGCACCCTGCTTGTAAGTGGAGAACCTTCCTCTTGCTGCTTAACATTGTGAAACAGATTTGATTTGATTTGTGGTCAGTGATTTATAAATGTGAACCAGGTGGCTTGAAGGAAAAACACTGCATGATGTTGTAAGATCTCCGTGTGATGGAGGGATAGCATCATAATCATCCTCCTCTTTTGCTTAGAAAGCTTCATCCAACACATCCAATTTCCCCTGCTTACACATTGGCTCTACTGAGATGTTGACCTTTAATTTCCCTGATGCTGTCACTGAAGGTAGCATTATTTTAGCATTCAGTGAGCTCACAAATGTCAACTGGACAGTTAAAAGTAAGGTGTGACACATTCAGCACAACTACCATGATCCAGTTCTGAGTGTTGAAATGACTTTTCCTGTGTTTCCACTATAGCTTTCTAGGTTAAGTATTAGTTTCTCAGAGCAGAAATAGTATTTTCCTTTATACAATTCCTAACACATAGGCATTATTTACTACTAATGACTTGTGACTCCAGCCCTGCAAATGTGTACAGAAACATCTTTTTAATGTTGTAAATTACTTAGCTACTTTGATTAAGCACAGACAATAAATCTATTTTTTGTATTTTTATTGTAATTCATTGTTACCCTCATTAATCAGCTCAGGCTGTGAGCATCATCTGCTCTAGAATTCTTAAATGCTGTGTTACATCATGCTTTTCATTCTTTTTGTTTGTCAGGTTTGGCTGTGGTATAAACTAATTGTGTCTGGTTGCCATGTGCTGGATTTTAACATAGGCATCTAAATGTTTACACACTTCAGCTGTGAGGGAGACTGGGGATAATTATCTTTGTAAGCTTCCAGCTTGTGATTATTAAAGTATAATTGCTACCACATATATACATCTTGGTATAAAGAGGAGTATGTGCAGGTATGGGCAGTAACTCTTTTTGGAAAGACAAGAACAAAAACACCAACACTCACTGCTCTGGTTTTATTATTCTCTGATGCTTCAGAAATCACAGACAGCTACTCGCTCAACCTGCTTGGTGCTGTTTTTTCCATTTGTACCATCCAGATTTAAGTGATCTGTGTACTATGACTGGTCATCTTTGAACATGTGACGATAAAACGTGACAATTTAGCTCCATGGTGGAATTAAGAAGATGGGCCTGGTGCTACAAATTAACATAAAACCTGCCTGCAGGGAAAAAAAGGGTGTGATTTCTTTAGCTTAAATCTCTGCAACAGAAGAAGAGCAAGTATTTAATAGATGGGAAAAGGCTGGAGTTGTGTCACCAGTTCTGTGATGTTAAACAGAGTGTGTTGCAGATCGTCAAGCAGCGCTGCCCCCATTACTTTTGTCAGGAAAGCTTTGTCTCATTGGATTATACAGTAGCAGCAGCTGCCTGATTCTAATGAAGACTCTGACTGATCCAACAGCCTGGAGTGAAACCGGTTGTATTGGCTGTGACCATTATTTTAAAATCTTTCCAGGCTGCCAGACACTTCTTTTCAGACCTTGGGAGCTTAAATTGAACCAAATGCGATCCATCTCCTATCAGGTACCTTGCTGTCAGAAGTGAACTGACTTGCAATAATAAATTAGCCCCATCAGAGCAGCTGGTGAAGGCTAGGAACTTTGTCAATTATTCCGAGCGCTGCCTTCTGCTGCTGACAGTTCTGGTGAGTTGGTATCAGCTCTACCTTGGCAGAGACTCTGGAAATAGCTCAGCTATTTTTGAATGCAGTCAGTCCATTTTTGTTGTAAAACTGTGGCTTATCTTCTTTTCTGTGAATGGACTATTTCAGCAGAAGTATGTCCCAAAACAAGCTATGGCCTGTGCCATTGTATTGGACAAGCCATAATTGAGTTTGCTCTTGTAAAACTTTGTTGTTACCCCATGCTTTCCACAGGCAGAGACCGAGTGCAGCTTTGTTTCAGCTGTATCCCGGGATGGCTTACTGAAGGGGGTCTTTGTGTTGACAGCTCTTTTGCATTGTTACAACAGGAGAAAAGAGCCTTTATTATAAAGGGTAGAACATATCCCCCAAACAAAACTAATTCCCACTTCCCGATTTTAACACCAAACGTTATTACTGATCAGCAGAATAAGTATTGCCTGGTTTCCTAGAAGTCTTCTGATCCCTGTTCTTAGAAAATACCAGCAGTCACTTTTCAGTAGTTTCCTGTACATTGCTGTGATTAGCAGATTAAAAAGCATGACCAGCATTTTTAACACCTTAGCCATCTTATCTGCGTTGCTGTATCGACGCAGACAAAAATTAGTCTTCAGGCTGACCACACGATTACCATGTGTGATAGCTGAGCTACCACTAGGATACTTGAGAGTTGTTGCAGTGTTACAAGTGAGACAACCACAATGACTTAAAAGGTTTAACCACTGTAATCCTAGTAATAGTGTTAAGAGTTGTCATGCTGTAGAGTGTTTTACTGCAGTTTACGTGACAGCAGCATGAGGTCTTTCCTCCTATTCTTCATTTAGAAGTATATTTCAAATTAGCAGACTTTTGCTTGGATATTCTGCCAATATTGTTGAAAATCTGTTATGGCTGACCTATGGTTGAACCTCTCACTAGTCCTTGTCTGCTGAGCTGAGCTTTACAATTTGAACATTGGATTACTTTTTATTAGAATATGTTATTATAAGTGTGAATGAAGGAATGTGCTGCACACACATCTATACCACGGTCTCAAACCAATTAACAACCTCTTCATGACAGTGACTAGATGACTGCATTTATGAAGTTAACTTCTTTTGCTAATGGTGATAGTTTTCTACCTTAATTTGTATTTTTTTTCCTGTAAATGTATGTCATTACTACTGTGTTTAAGAGGAATTTTGCTTGAAGATTGTTATAATAGGATGTGAGCAAGCAGTGTAAGTCACGGAACAGCCAGGATGTATGTTGGTAGAATTACTGTTTGTTTTCATCTGTAGGACTTAGGCAACACCATTACGAGCAAAACCATTGCTTTAGTTTAGATAAAGGACATGAATAGCAGAAGATTTGAACACGTAAGCCTGGGGAGCAGTAACCCAGAAATGTCCTTCACTGCTCAAGCAAAGCACAGTTAGAAGCATTTATGCAGGAACACCTGGAAGCCTTGCTCCTCCAAATACACATGTGCAAAAATCATGACAGCTGCATTTCTAGCCTATTAATTTCATCTTTTGTGGGTAATGAAATTCTGTGAAGCTTTTTTTAATACTTTTTTTTTCTGTCACGGGGGCAGGTTCTTCAATGCACGTGGATCAGCCTTGCTGCCAAGCTCTCTATGACTTTGAACCAGAAAATGAAGGCGAGCTTGGGTTTAAGGAAGGGGACATCATAACGTTGACCAATCAGATTGATGAGAATTGGTATGAAGGGATGTTAAATGGAGAGTCTGGCTTCTTCCCAATTAATTATGTTGAAGTGATGGTACCCTTGCCTCAGTGATTGTGTCATTCAAGCTGTGAACATGATTTCATGACTGAAATGGATTCACAAATGTTCTGTCAGTGTGGCATTCTGTGAAAGCCTTGCTATTTGACTGACTTACTGACTTTTGTATGCGTCTTTTTAAAATGTATTTATTTTATATTCCAAAAAAATTTACCTTCCCTGACACCATCAACCTGCAAAAAAACCCATACTCAGTTTTTTTGCTTTGTGCCTTGAAGATCACTGTATGAAGTGTTTACTGGTAGCTCACTGTTGCTCCCAAAATGCATTTATTTGCTATTATTGTAAATGGTTTTGTTTTTTCCTTTTTTTTTTTTTTTAAAGTCTTTGGTTGCAATGATTTTACTATTAAAAACAATTTTTAAAAATACTGTAAGTGAAGCTAACTGTAATGAGTTCCTAAGTTACTGATATCATTGAGCCCTTTCCATCTATCACACTGTAAATTATTGTGAACAAGTTAATCCATGTTTCACATTGTATGTTGACAAAAGGCAAAGTGATTGTTGTCAATATTATGATGCTGTTGTACTAAGTACAAGTGCTCAGAATTGAAGATTCCTATAATTTGCTGACCAAACTTAATAAATATGTCGGTGGGATAAGAGTGGTTGCCACTTCTATTCCTGTAATTCTGGCATTTATTTTTGTGCTGGATGGTCACTCTTGCTAGATAAATCATTTCAGTGTGGGGGGGAACATTAAAAAAGCCTCTAAGTATTACTTTTATAGATACCTCAGCAACTGGAATTGTAATGATCTTGCCCTCCTGTCACAGGCTGTGTAACACTCACAGTATCTATTAACATTTTCTTGTAGCAGGAGAATAAGAGTCCTTTGAACCAAGTGTGAACTGATTCTAGCTCCACAGTTTGCATACACCTCCATTGAGATAAATGGGTGAGTATCACTGGTCATGGTTGCAAACAGATAAAAGTTAGTAACACTTCTGCTGTTGTCTATTTCTTATTTAAAGAATGGAGAATGATAGAGAGAGAATAGGTAGAGGTAAAGAGACAAATGTTGTAACTTAAACATGCAAAAAAGGCCTCAAAATGAAGGACAGACTCAGGCTTAAGTACTGTCAAAGTGAATATAAAGTTAAGTATTCCTCTGTTAGCCTTTTCCTGCTTTGCTCAGGAAATGTGGATGTAGTAATGACTGAAAAATTCAGCATCCTGAGACAAACCTGATCTTTTTCCAATTACTCCATCGACAAGACAGAGGAATGATGAGAAGGGAAGTGAACTCTTTGTGGACAAAAGGGCTTGAATCCAGTTTCAGTGTAAGCTCTACTTGGTTCTGTAGTCCAGTAGAAGCAGCGTTCCTTAGAGAGGAAAGAATTTCATGTGTACCACAGGTGCAGTAACTATTCCATATAAGAAACATAAATAGCTTGTAACCAGCTATCCAAACCATGGCTTTCCAGTTTCTTCAATCTCTGACCTTGGCTGATACAGTGGTGACAAGAGAAGTAAAGGACAATTCTTTAAAGCTTTGGCTACAGCTGCCTAATTACTAGCACAATAACTTCAGAAAGGGGAAGATTTATTAGGTGTTTTTCAAGTTCATGGGTGAGTAACTAGCTGCTCTAACAACTACAACACAGAAAGTAACCTGGCTCAACCTAGTTCTTAAAAGTAGTGATGTTCTGAGTACAAAATGTTTGTAACAACTTTTAAAGCATTTAAGATTCATAGCTTATTAGCTAAGTACCAAACAACTCAGTGTACAGTTGTTATACTTGTGCTCTGGGGTTGGAGCTGTAACAGGACTATTGCTTGAATGCACACAGCCAAGAAGTAAAGCTGTTATGAACCAGAGTTCAGCACCTGCATTTTACTTTGGTAAATAAGCAGTAGCCAGGGAGAAGAAAGAATAGTTAACAAAATAGCTTGATCTTCTAAAGCTGGTAATGACATTACTTAAAAGGTGCCTTGAGTAGAATAGCCTTGTCACTGGAATAAAATAAAAAAATCTAAATATGGAGGTAATATGAAGCATAGCTATGTATGACATGCATTGCAACACACAGTCTGTAGCTCTCCCTTGGGTACTCTGCAGTTGCATACTAATGAGCATTAGGGTTTCTGTATTCCACTCTGGTTATTTTATAATCAAGACCAGTACAGTGGTTGTTGCTTCATACCATCTTTACCTTATGCTAGAAGTGTCATGTAAAGTACTGAGTACTACTCTTAAATGAAATCCATTACAATTCAGCTTTATTTGAGGAACTGTGTGATGGATGTAAACAGCACAATATAGCATAGGGGTGAAGGTTTCTTAAAGCTCTACAGGGAGTTGTATTACTCCAAATCATTTGAGCTACTCCAAAAACCATCAATAAACCAACTTTTATTTAATTTACCTATAAATATCTTAGATTTTAATATTTGCTCATGAAAAAATCTCTTTAACAATAAAAAGTTCAACATAAAGATAAATATAGAAAGATATAGCAACATTTATTTCTCTATGGGGCAAAAGGTATAACAGGAGTTCAAAACTGATAAAATGTATTAAATCAGCATTAGTTTTCATCTTTTTAAAGACCTAAACAGCTTAATTTAAGAACATTAAGCTAGTGTAAGAAAATCCTCGTATTGATAACTGCATCCAAATATAGAACAGATCTCAAAACTCAGAACTTAATGTTTTGGTAAGATAACAGATGCGGACAAAAAAGCCAGCACTGACTGATCTGCAACATCAGCTGCTTATATTCTTAAAGAGAAGAGGACCTGCAAGGCTCATTGAGGTTCTTACTTTGCCATATAACTGTCAGGTAAGCATTTTGGTAAACAGACGCTGAAAGAAGGGATCATGAAGGCTGACTACATGGTTTCTAAGGGCTAGGGGTCAGCCTTCAGATAGCTACAAAGCTATTAAATTAAGTACTGGCCAGCAGATAGTACTCTGCCCCCACTTCCCAGCTAGACAAAAAAAGCAGGACTGCAGACTGCCCTTGTCAGACGTTTAGTACAGTGATTCTAAGAGCTAATATTTTTAATGCACCTTTGTCATTTTGATTTCTATCAGTATTTTTTCCAAGCCACTTAGAATGCTGCCTTTTTGGGACCAGAGTGCTAATATTGCTAGTTACAGTACCTTCTGTTGGAATGTTTCACATTTGCAGGATATATCTGTCAATGTTATGGTTCCAGCAAATCAGAACTCGAAGCTATGCTGCAACTAGAAACACTGAATACTGCAGTTGGTAATTTCTATGTACTAGAATAAAGAAACAGTACATTTAATAAACAAGAATACATCACAGCTTGATTTGACTTGAAAAATGTTGTTACTCTAGGAAGTTCTTCAGCAAGTGATCTAGATATCTCAGCATCAGGATACGAGCAGAAACCATTTCAGATAGTAAGCACTCTTCAGGATAACATGATACTTCAGCCAAATTCAGAACTGCTCAACATCCAAGCTGTGACATGATCTGGTACAGGTAGTTACCCACTCTGGCTTGAAACAGAAATTGCCTTTGGAGAAACAACATACCAGAATATTGAGAAAGCTGAGACAGCCTATCTATGCTCAATCTCAATTATTTATCATCCTTCTAGGACACACAAACAGCTTTGTGAACTGTGCACACTTTTTTCAGCAGGTCATGGAAATCAAATCCTTGTGGCAGAGTAAAAGAACTTCCTAGAGAGCTTGTATTCTACTGATCTTCATATCAGTGAATCCAGCACAGGGTACAGTATCAGAAGGCAGAAGGCATTATGTCATGAACAGTTTTTCTTACAAAGAGGTCAGGTGGGAGATGTAAATTCCAAGTTATTTTAGATATTGCAGAAGGTGCCACCACACACTTAAGTCCAAATGTCACTTGAGGTTTAGAAGTGTTTTCAGGTGATCATCTCCATGTCTGTATTACATGATAGAACAGCTGGGATCTTCATTTTGCTGCAGAAATAAAATATCAAGACATAAATTCTAAGCAGCGTGTATTCTTTCTACAAATTTCCTATTTAATGCTAATTAAAGAAAATCAAAATTAAAGAAAAGCTATCAAGCTATCAGTACCCCAGAGTTCTGGAAGCATCAGAACTGAACTGACATGCAAATTCACACTACTCATGTTGTAAGAGGAGCAGAAACAAAAGAACAAAACATGGAAACCCTGCCTTAAAGCACTACCTTGCATTCTTTACATCATTTTGCTGCCTACAGGAAGTTAACAACTTAGTTAAAAAAAACAAACAAAACTTTGTCAGTATTACCAACATTGCAGAAACATGGATAAACTTCAAACTTCTGTCATCCAGCAGATGGGAAGGATATTCATATTTGAGTAGGAGTATTAGAATGGATTCTTATCATACGTGGTAAATAACTGTACTGTAAAGCTGCTGATAAACAGTGTTTTATCATGAAGATAAAGAAAAGAAGTTGCTTTTGCTTCCCATCACTGATGGCAGGACAAGCCATGTTATTAGTCAATTGAAATGAAGAACCTTCAAAATACTGAGGAGAGGCCCTGTTTCAAACACCATTTCCACTGGTACAGCTTCAGCCATTTTGGCATATGCCATTCAGGCTTTCAATACACAGCATTACAGAACAGTGTTCAATAGCCTATTAAACAAGGTCTTATCCTTTACAGTGAGAGACTGAGAAATACACCAACAATGTAAGACTTCGATGAACACTCTAAACCATGTGGTATAACAGATATTCAGTTAGATTCAGTTTCAAAAGAAGGACAAGAAAAGAAATAAGTAGCAGACAACTGCCTGTTCTGAGGTACATTTCTTGAAAAAGATGGTACCCCAAGGTACTTCCAAGCTGTGCTTTTGGGCAGGTATAAATAACTTGAACATGAAAAGGAGAAGATATACAGGAAACACTGATGTCAAAGACCTGCTGCAGTAGGCACCTGTCTTCCTTGTAGCTCTACAGAAGATTTTTTTAAGCAGAAGTTTGGAACTCAAAAGGCTTTGTCAGCAGGAGGGGAAGAATAACAGTAATTTCTGAAACAAAAGTTGTCACCGGAGTGCCTTAAACTCATGATCAAGTTTAAAAGAAACGTAGCCAGTCAATATACCATTGTAGCAGAAATGCCAACTCACAGCCTGAAACAGTGATTGACCACCTGGTGGGAAGGCAGGGCCAACCCAGGGGAGCTCAGGTGCATACAATGCATCTGAATGAGCATGAGGGGTGGAGCCAGGATCCATCCCTTCCCAGACCTCCTTTAAGGCTTGGCAGTGGAAATGAGGGCATCTCTCACTGGAGATCCTTGCAACCTTGCTATTACCACAGTACTTTCCATCCCATTATCCCATTACAGCCATGAACTTTGATTTCAGCATTTTAAAATCATAGAATCATTAAGGTTGAAAAAGACCACTAATACCATTTTGTCCAGCTGTCAACTTATCACACCATGCTCACTAAACCACATCACTCAGTGCAACATCTCCCCTTTCCTTAAAAACCTCCGGGGATGGTAACTGGATAAGCTGCCAGCTCATGGCTTGGATACATTCTTTGCTGGATAAAGAACTGGAGGGCCGGGCCCAGAGAGTGAATGGAGTGAAATCCAAGTTGGCAGGGGTTGATACTGGGGCCTGTTATGTTTAATATTTTTATTGATGACTTGGACAAAGTGATTGAGCTCATGCAGTTTCCCATTGACCCCAGCCTATCCAGATTCACCTGTAAGGCCTTTAATTTTGTATTTTTGAAAGAAAATATTTTATTTTCTTACTGTGAATTTGAATCGGGTACTTTAGAACAAGTCCAGTACACTGTTTTAAGCATCAGGTAAGTCACTTCATTCCCACAGAATGAAGATATTTGTTTGCATTCTGTTTTTGGAATAACAGCTTGCAAGTATATTTACAGTGAGGTAGATGTTCAGACAAATACATAAATAGCTAGTATTCTTCTGCAATAGTGTTAATTGTTTGGCCTCTAATTATTTGATGATATTCAGCCAAAAAGCATCAATTTCATTTCTGATGCAAAGCCATGCAAGCTACAGCCTACATGGGACAAGAGACTAAAGCATTATTAGTGAAGCAAGCTGAGATAGCAAGCACAGTTCTTACTAATCTCACCTCCTTAAGGATGCTCACAGGAATCACTATCATGAAACCAAACAACATTTCTTTTTTCTTCTTCTTTTGGTCTGACATCAAGAAAAATGGTAAGAGTTGGATTTGGATCATATTTGGGGAAGTATATTCAGGCAGTGTAAAGAAATCGGCTATCAGAATTCTTCAATTGCTTGTATTTAAGTTTCAGGAATCTTACCTGAGATGGAAGCTCCATTTCACTTCCCATTAGTTCTTCATACTCATCCTCTTGCTCACCACTTTCTTCTTCTCTGGGTACATGCATTAGTTTTCTCTCCGCCAGTTCCTGCAATACAATTAAGTCACCATCAAGGAAGCTTAGGAGCCAAGCACATCAAGGCACTTCAGTAGAAGGACAGAAACTGCAACTCACTTACCTCACCTTCATCTGTGATGAGCGTAACACCAATGTTATACCCAGATCCCCAAGACTTCTGAGACTTCCAGATCAGGTCACTAGGACCTGGGCTTACACCAGCAGCTGCACCCCAGATCTGCAAAAAAACTTGAAGTGAGACTATGTTGATTCTTCTTATTTGTAGTTACATCTGAACGCATTGTAACACATACAACTCCAAATACTCCAATACCAAAGACACTAACAAATTCAGCTACTCTCATCCCTGACAGGCTAGTTCTCCTGTTCAAGAAGATTCAAGAATACTGATTAATACAGACCTACCGTAACAACTTGGCCTGCCTGAAGAGTGAACTGAGAGGGGAATTTGTATGATACATCTGACACACTCTCAAGATGTCTTCTCAGCACCCATCCATGTAGTGGCTGATCCTGCAAGATAAAAAGTTTCTCAGCATTACAAACCAACACTATAGCACTCATAAGTGTAAGATCCTCCTCAGTCCTAAAGGTCTCTTGGTCCTTCTTCTGTAAGGTGAAGACTATATTCAATTATAAAGTTAACTTAAATTTCCAGAAGTCTCCTAGTACTGTCTTAGGGTTACACTTCACCCCAGAAATTCAGGTACATCTGTTCAATAGGGATAGTATTCTAACCAGGATCATGTTATTCTTTCTAGAAGGACTATGATAAACCATAGATGTTTATGACTAACTTAAGTCAGACTGCATGTATATATTTATACATATTAATGTAAACTGTAATATATATAGTGGTCTTTGAAGGTTTAAGGCATCTCAGGCTAAAGCACCTAGGCTATGAGCTGCAAGTTTTGGAGTTCTGATAATTGTAACAATTCTGAACTTGCAGATTAAACTAGTTGAGTTATCCAATTCATTAGTGAAGCCCTCTATACTGGTTAGATACTGTCAGTCCTAGTCAACCTTTTAGTTGCGTTTCTAATTAGTAAGCTGTCATCCAGTTTACTAATCCTTATTTAGTTTCTCAAGGATATGAAGTGCTTCCAATACTATTACCCTGATTCTAAAGAAATAATGGTAGGCTTCTGCATCATAGATGCCAGTGCTCCTCTTCCAAAAGCCTGAGAGCAAGACACCTGCGGTATGAATATCAGTTGTGCCTCATCTATTGGCAGTAGCCAGGTTAGTTCAAGAAACATTTAGAAAGCTCTCCTTTTTATTTAATTTAGTAGTACGTCTTATCTCTTTGTAATTCCCTGTTGTAATCTCTAAGCCACAAATCAGTGCACAAGTAGTCATACTTTGCAGTGAAGGCGGAATAAAATTGAACAAATACCTCTTCAGAGTTGTTTTTAAGCCTGACAAAATTCCCATCTGCATCAATTTCTTCAATAGACACTTTTCCAGAAGATGAAGCATGCTGAACAGTCTTAAATCCAGCACTATGTTCTCTCTTTCTGGCTTTCATTTTCCTTTTTCTCCCGTGCAGAAACCGTCGCCCTTCACTTGTTGCTTGAGTTGCAATGCTATGTGAAGATGCACTAGGTGATATGTTCAGCCTGGAAGGAGTAAAATAACATTCACTTCAATATCTACAATGCTTATTTCTTCTCACTACTATCAGGATAGTCAAGACTAACAGCTTCTTACCTTGAAGCTTTCCGTGAAGCCTTGATAAGACTTTATTTTTACTGGCAAGAGTAACTCAGTAAGTAGCTTGTTGGGTTTGGAACACAACCCCAGACCTAAAGTTCAGAGCTTATACTGATAAGAAATTTTCAACTGCAGTAAGTATTCATTTCAAGTCTTTACTTACACACAGATTCTCTTTAATAGAAGTTACTTAAATTCGTGTCCCTTAGCATTAACTCAGTTCATGTTGATCTTACTAAGCAGCGTCTGGATAGTTAAGAGCTAGTAGTTATCATTTCCTTTCATTCATGCAGACAGCCCCAAATGCTGAAGTTCTGATTGCTAAATTGATTTCTGAGCTAGCTAGGTATAGAATAAAACTCACACAGAATGACTATACCCTTATATGCTGCATGCCCTAATGTTTTTGCATAATTACTCCATCTCCAAGTGACATCAGCACCTAATACTGATGGATAAGGGGGAAAAGGATGGCTGTTTTAGACTTCAGTGCATCTTTGGTACAACTCCAGGTTTTAGTACAAAAAAACTTTGAAAGTAATCAATTCTAGAGAGGGGTGTCTGGTGGATTTGAACCTTCAGTTTAGTTTGTCAAGTTACTTTATCTTCATACATGATGTGATGAATATGGATGGATATGACTATTTATCTACAGAAGATGAACAGAAGATGATACTTGAACTAAATGATGATCCTAATTGCAAACAGTGTTTGTTTCTTGCATCTACTGCATTTTTGAATATACATTCAGTCAACGCAGAGATCATGGATGGGGCAAGTCCTCACATGAAGATCTTGCCATAACCTACCTCTGTTCCTCTCCTTCCAGCATCTTTCTGTAGGCATTTATTTCCAGATCTAGAGCCAGTTTCACATCTAAGAGATGCTCATATTCTTCCAACTGTTCCTGAACCTTTTTCTGGGCTTGTGCCATTTCTTTCTCTTTTTCAGCCATACGCTTTCGATGCAGATCACGATCTTTATCCAGCATCTCCTGTAGCTCCTTCACTCTGTTCTCCAGAGCAGCATTCTAAAATTAGACAAAAAAAAAGAATTACACTGAGTATTAGGAAATATTTTGAATTGGGTATTTAATACTAAGAATATACAAAAAGATAGTACCTGGCTTTGATAGTGATTAATTTCAGATGTCAGATTACCAACTCTAAGCTTTGTTTCCATTAATTCCTCTCGAGCAGCATTGGCAAAGTCACTATTTCTTGCTGCAGAAAGCTGGGCATTCTCCACCTATGGGTAAAGTCACTGTTAGAAACGAGTTGCTTATGATCATCTATTTTAAGATAACAAAGGGGAAAAAAAACAAACAACACCAAGTGATTTCCAGCTGCTACACATGGAAATAGCTGTTTTACTTAAGTATACAGATACCAATAGGATACAAATAAGAAAGTTTTCTATTACTTTTCGAGGAGATTTACATGAGTTTGACATTCATATCAGAAAAAAAAAAGAACAATATTCAGGTAGTGAGGTGCTGGATTAGGATGTTCCAGTTACAAAATTGGAAAGACTTTGTATAAATATGAAGTCAGTGGATTCTCCAGAACAGTGAAGAACACTTGGAAATTGCTTGTCAAAGCATAAGACTAGAGGATACTAAGTATGTTTAGAAAGCTCTTGTTCTTCCCCAAAAGTTCTGTAACTAAACAGTTCTGACTTCACACTCTAAGCAGCACTAAGCTATTTTTAAGAGCAAGTCAATCCTGATACTTTCCAAGAATTGAAAAAACGTAGTAGCATGACTATATCTCAGTACAAAAGATATTCCAGATCTCCAGGGAAGAGTTGGACAGAAGCATCCAAACAAATTCAGTAGGCTGTTGTACAACAGAAAGTTGTAGTATGGAGAAACCCAGAAGAAGCACTGAGTGAAAAAAACTCTTAAGCAGATGTAGTAGATCATGCAGTTCTGCACTATCAGCACATCAATACTATATGCTGCACTCAACCCAGGAGGCCCTGGGATCTTTCCTACAATACTACAAATAGGAAGTGTTACTTCTACCTAAATACAAGGCTTATGCTAGGAAAAAAGATTGCAGAACACTTCTGGAAGACAACTTGTCAAACTACTTCCATAGACACCCTCCCTACCTTATATAGTGTTACAGCTTAAAAGGGACATTCATACTTTAGAAGTATGCTTACAGAACTGTAATAACACTTTGTCATGTATTTCACTAGCATTATTGTTACTGAAATTTTATTCAATGATTCTGAAAATTCTTCATATAAAGATAGCATGCCTTAGTCCTGAATTTGTCAAACACTTATTTGTTAGTAGACTGAATTATCATCAGCTTTATTACATTAGCCATTCCTAGCTGCTCCCCAAAGAAGCAGTATTTATACTTGAACCAATTTTGTTTGGAGCTAAGTGTTGGTAGCAGTAATTTCCGTTGTCAAACTTGACACTGTTCTGAAATCCCATAAGTGCCATTAATTACCCTTCACACTTATACCTAGAGGCTCTGTAGTGAATGCACGGGCTCCATCAGTCACTTACTCAGTGTGACAAATCACATTAAGGTGAGAACTTACACTGGCATCTTTCATAGACTCACTTTTGCACTGAATGTTCGCTCCAGCTCCTCCTTGTATCCTTGAATTTGTTCTTCATGCTGTTTTCTGAGCCCCTGCAGAGCATCTGAGAGCTTACTCTCAAATTCTCTCCGACGACCAGACTCCATTTCTGCTATTCTGCTCTCATGGACTCTTTTAATCTCCTTGAGCTCCTAGGAGAGAAAGTTTTTGAGAATAAGCAAGCCAAAACAGTTTGAGACTGTGGACTTATTGTACCAGCTTAGCAAGAAATTCAGTACCACAGCAGATTTGCCGCTGAGTGCATGGTAATTCCTCAATTCACAGCTTACATGTCCTTCCAATACATCAGGTACTCACACCTCAGTAGCTGTGCTGGATTTTTCTGCTTCTTCACTGCTGACATTGCTTAAACTACCAAGCAAAGTAATTTGCATCTAATTTGGAGATTAACTTTTTGATCCATATTAATTTCTCTGCTTTTCTTTAGATGCACGTGCACTTCAACTTCTTAAAGAATTTATCTATTCTTATTTTATCCAAAAACTTACAGCAACTGGGTTAGAGAAATTGGAGTTTTATCATTGAAATCACATAGACTCCTTCCAGAAGGAATTTGGTTTGCATTCACTTCTAAGTTCCATATTATGTACTGGCTCCTAATGCAACACTTATGAACAGTGTTTGGTAAACTTTAAGGAAGAAGGGAATGTAAGTTCTTATTGTAGCAATTGGACAGATCAGTACAATGGGAAAGCATTACAACAAGGTGTGATGATGGAAGGACTAGCACGATAAAAGTGTGCTATAAAGCAAGGGAAGAAGATTGCTCACACAGAGGATTCTAGGTTTGCAGGGGAAAACTTCACTAAGGAGGGATCTCCAATCAGAGATCCTTCCCCATTGGGGATCAGCCCTTCAGTGATGTCGAAGAGAGGTGCAGTCAGGCTCCACTCCTTCCAGTCACACAGCTGAATTGCCTTCACCTGTGCTCTCAGGACTGACCAGGTCTTTTCCCCACATGCTCTATCAATTGTTCAGGCCATGACTCAACAGTTCCCATACATATTAAAAAATGTTAACTTCACTGATTTTAGGCTTCTTCCAAGCACCAAGAATTATTTAACTTCAACTGTAATTAAGCACTTTCAGTTACACAAAGTAGTACACTGTGATTGTAGTTACCTTCAGAAGTGCAGCCTGAGAAAGTTCTCAAATTCCAGATACCTACTGGTACTATGCCAGTTGAACATGAAGTTGTATACTGTTTTGAAGTCGTCCTAGTTAGATTTTATTGACTGACGGACTGCCATAAGTTAACTTGCTGAGTTATCTTTCTAAGGATAAGGTACAATTTAACATTGCTTTTAAGGACATCCAGGGGTCATAAACACCTAAGAAAGCCTTGTTAATAAGCTAAAACATACATCTTCATGAAGACACTTCTGGAATGTCATTTTTTCCTGCAAAGTTTTCAAATGATTTTCCAGGTCCACCCTTCTCAACATTTCACTGTGGAGATGCTTTTTGGCATCTTCCAGTGACAGCTCCAGCTAGAAGAGAAAGACATAAGGGTAGTCAAAATTAAGTGGTTACTCTTCTAAACTAAGACAGCCAACTTATTACAGGTTATTCAATTTAACTCCTGCAGCAATCAAAATGCATTAAGTGAAGTTGACTATTCTACTGTTTAGGGCCAATTCTGTGGGATCCAGCATGTTTGCAATGAAATGCTATTGTTATGTAGGCCAGATCTCCTGCAGATGATGTATGCAGCCCTTCATTGCACAGTTAAGCTTTATTTCAAATGCAAAAAAAGTGCTTCTGATGAAGTTGTACCATCTGCAAGTATTCTTCTCTTTCACAGTACTAAGTTCTCCCAACTTCTTCCTTACTTCCCATATCATTTTTATTGATTATTAACATGAAAAGCACTCCAAGTATGAACTTATTTTACTCAAACTATTGGACAAAAAAATTTTCATTGTAAAGACCATAAAATAGATTAATGATCATATTAAAGCATGAAGATACTGTGTTGGATAGATAGAGTAGCAACTTAAACAGCACAAGAGCTCAAAGAAACAGTCAAGTTGTATTTGTTCTGCAGAGATTCAAGCATAATGAAGCAGGGTCCATCAAATCCTCCCTTTACTACAGGGTCTATAGCAGCTCACATTTCATCATTGTTTGTAGATGAAAATTCATAGCTACTACAGTCATAGAATAGAATTAAAGGTACTTACAACAGCCAGAAGTTTTAATGGAACAACTATTAGCAGCATTTGCTTTCAGCAAGAGTGGAGAAATCATTTTTGTCCACCTGTAACTGTCACAGATAATAGCCTTTGCTTGATTTTACTTTTAAATCTCTAACTAGCTTGGGATAAGACAAGCAAAAGCTTCAGGAGCAATAGCAAAGTTGGAATTCCAGGAACAAGCCTTACAGTGACTACTTGATCCTTTAACTCACGGAGGCCATTCTCCAAAGTCCGGTTCTCACTCAAAGCTGTTGCCAGGTCAGCTTCCTTTGCATTCAGCTGAGCATCAAGATCTCTCATACGAGCCTGTGCCAGGTTCAGGTCAGCTTCTTTTTTTGAATTCCTGCAAGTGAAAGTTTTACATTCATAAGTTGCAGCTAGTGAGGGAGAATATTTGCTTTCAGTGTGTTTACCCTTAATGGGGGGGTCTGTGGTTGAACTGAATCAGAAGAAAGGTTGAGACTTGTGGTGAGAGCACAGAGCAGGCTCTAAGAAACAAACCAGACAGAGTCACAGACAAGTATCATTTGTTTAACCAGAAAGATTTCTGATCCATTTTCCAGCTGATTGTGTTCAAATCCTATGCAGGACCCAGCTATTCTCCACAGCACGGCCATCAGAAGGGGAGGGGGGGGGGGGGGGGGGAGGATGGTGCAGTCACTGTCTTCACAGGAAGAAATAGTCACATTCAAAATTGGCATTCACTGGACTGCACTCATCTGCCACTATCGCATGAACTCCTGAAACAAGAATTCCCTTTCAGCAGGGAAGGCAGCTGAGGTGCCTGCCAGCCATTTAAATGCACTTTTGCTGCATCTCAGAGCCCCTGCAGCCACGCCACCAGGTGTGAGCAGCCATGACAGCCATGCTCCTCAGGGAGGGCCACTACCTGAAGGCGGGAAGGCAGCGTGCACGCAACCCGAGACCCGCTCTCCTGAGGCAGGATGGCAGGCAGTGCCGGTCACACATGGCAAAGCACTCCTCCTCTGCACCTGGAGATAGCAAGCACCTCTAACTGCTGAGGGCTTCTCTCCACACCAAGTTCCTCCTTAGCGCTGGAGGAGCTCTGGCTCCAGGAGGTCACCATCTCAGCTGGGCTTGGCCTGCTGCAGCCACCAATTCCCGCCACACAGCAGCAAGTCTCCACACAGACCATCCTCACAGCACAGAGCGTCCTTGCAGAGAGGGCCTCTGCCCTCATGATGGATCATAAACTCTCCTCTCCTTCATACCTACAGAGTCACGAGGTGAGAACAGCTCAGCTTTCTGCAGAATGCCATTTTCTTCAGAAAGTGCTTGCACCTTCTGCAAGCAACCAATTTTCACCAAATCCTTACAGTTGGAGGGGATCTTTAAAGGTCCTCTAGTCCAGCTCCCCTCTTTCCTTGCACAGATTGAAACTGACTTACAGAGCATTCAGATACCATCTGAATGTCTATGGATTTATTCTTTAAACTCAGCACCGCAATAGACAAGTGCAGGGCCCACACTATATTCCTGTCTTTGAGAGACAGTTGTGATAGCTTCCCAGTCTGCTCTGCCTTCTCCTATCCCTGCAGTTACCTGACCTACACTGCGCTGGAGTTCCTTCCTGCTCAAAACACAGATTTGAGATTATAAAGAGTAAAGCATTCCATTTATTTTAGCAAAATCTGTTCTGCCAAGTGGCTAAGTTGTGATAATTTATACAATGAGTTTCCCAGTTGATAACTGTACAGACCAGCTGGAGAGAGTCCAAAGTCATTCCACGGGAGGGATGGGCTCTAGAAAGCATGGGATACAAGGAAAGATTGGAACAAAGTAAGGATTGTTTAGTCTAGAGAGCAGAAAAGTGACAGGAGACAGAAGTCTTATGCGTGTGAAGACCTCTGCATAGGGGAAGGGAATCTGTTTTCCATGTCTGTTGTGGAAAAGGCAGGAAGTTGTAGGTTTAAATTGCAGGAGAAGTATTTGGGTTAGATGTTGGAGGGGAAACTAATGGTAGTTCAAAACTAAAGCACAATGCCTGGGGAAACTCTGGAATCTTCATTACCTGGAATTTAAAAAGGGTCACAAAACATCTGCTAGAAGTGATGCAGGTACAGCTGGTTCTGCCATAGGCCGTGAGTATGAGGCTAGATCAGCTTCTTGCCCAAGGCCTTTTCTAGCTCTGCTATTCAAGGCATTTGTTGATCGCCTCTGTACCTTGTGACCATGTTGCATCACCAAATGTCTTACTGGTAGAAGATAGACTCTCTCTGCAAGGAGTAACTATGAAAAAAGCAAGTACTGTAGTAGCAATAAGAAGAGATCATATTTCAATTTTCCAGTTTTCTCTCTTTTCTAGCCGAGAAGTTAACCACTTTTCTTCTGGAACCACTACTGCTACTACCACTTGTAAGTATTATTTGTGATATTAACATGAAAATCATACTATCAAATAGTGTTATCAAAGTACACCTTCTAATAATCTACATATATTTATTGCAATAATGTGCATGAATAATCCCTTACCCCAGTAAACTCTGAAGTGGGTAATTTCATCTTTAATTGCAGCATTTTAAAGTTGGCTATGATGCAGAATGATAACTGTGAAGTTATTGACTATCACATCCAATAAATCAAGGTGTCATATACTTGACCTGGAGAGTTTAAGAAATACCTGTGCTCTATTGATGAGATATTTAAAACAGACTTGACAGATTTGCTTACAATTTCTGCTTGCTACTCTATATGAGAAGTTCAGTACCAAAATACACGTTTATACTCTCACACAGAACAGAACTATGCTTGCTGTTATCTGTAGTGCTACTGTTCCTGCGTTGACCTTCCTCAGACTCTGAATTCAACCAACTGATATGCTCACCCACAACTCCTCCTTCCAAAACATCTTTGGCCTACTTCCAATTACACTGTTAAAGAAAAATTAAGAAAAAAGTGGAGCAAGGACATCCAGTTGTTGCTGAAGGTTTAAGTCTCTTCACTAGTGATTAAGAAGAGTCAATAGTTAATGCTGTTGGGAAATTATCTAGTGGCATTCCATCCCATAAGAGTTTCAGATTATTTACGGAATAGATATAAAGAGCATGATACCCTCAAAGGATTTTGCTCCAAGTCATCTGAGATATTTGCAATTAGACTGCCCAGTTAAATAACGGTTAATGTTAAGATTTCAGTACAGTCCATCCAGGAAGCAGCATGTACAATGTATCATTTCCCAGGGGTTGTAAAGTTAACCACTTTAAAACCCAGTTACTCCAAAGAAGTAAATTAGTCTGGAGGATTACATACCTGCCAAGCCTAAAGCTTTTACAAACAAAGCCACTGAGTTATACAAACACAAAGAGCAGCAGAAAGATTTCAGAACTGGCATTAGCCTTTTCCTCACTATCCAATCAAGTGCCTGCTTAGATTTATGAAACAAATTTATGAGCTAAAACCCAGCATGAATGAAGCAAACCCAATAACTTCCAAGCAGCTGAAAACCAAAGCTTAGAGTAAAAACATGTTTCATTCCCAAGTAGAACAGCTACTTAAGTCCTACTGAACCAGTAGAAGGCGGAACTTGCTTCATACTATAAATATTAATAAAAAAAGCTGTTGCTGAACAGTGCTATGATAACACTTTATAGCAAGACTTAGAGGAAGGAGGGAAGGGCCTGTGGACATACAAGTTACTGAAAGTCTGTAATTCATTTAGTAGTACAATGGGGCATTGAAATAACTGCATACTGTAGTTGTATATAACCAGAGAATGTTTACTGGGGTGTAATTCTTGTTCCCTCCTCTTTACTGTCTACCTTCTTTGAGTGCATTTATGTTGGACCATTCCTTGTTCCCTACTTAAGGAAACTAGACAACAAATTGATTCCAGACAAAATATACTGGTCATGAAAACATCAAGCCTGAAATGACAGGCAGGTCATTCTAGGACAGTTTCTGTGCAGTAGCAGCCTGCAGCAGGAAGGTTATCCTGCTCACAGGACTGTCTGCTCTGTGTATTTCCCCCAGCAATGTCTAAGGGAATAACCCCCAAAGAGAGGCGAACTGATTCTATACTGAGACTTACTCTCCCTACCCCCATAACTTTCTAGATCCCTTCCAGCACAGCAGCCTCTTGGTTGTTTATGAATCACAGGTGCAGTACTAAATGCAGTCAGCTGGGCATTCAGGCAGTACTGGTTCCATAGGGCCTCCCAACTACCCAGGCTCTGAGGGAACCCCATGCCCATTACAAGGGAGCTCTAACGAGGCCCAGCAGCACTGGTGTAGAGGTACCACAGCAGTGCCCCTGCAGGGCACACACTAAGATTCTCCAGGCCTAAATCACACTAACCCCACATTACCACCCAAACATTTGGGGCCTCACCATCACCAAGACCTCACTGCTCTGACAGCACAGAGCCGTCCTGCCGGCACACGGGTCCCGGTAAGCAGCATCACCCGCTTCTCCTCGCCCCAAGCAGGGGGTGCCTCCTAGGGAGCCCCGCACCGGGCAGGGCTGGGCAGGAGGGCCGGGCACCGACCTGCTGTGCAGCTGCCGGTGCTCCTCGCCGATCTTGCCCAGCTCCACCTGCAGCGCGGCCCGCTCAATAGCGATGTCGTCCAGCGCACGGCGGGCGTCGGCCAGCTCCGCCTCGTAGCGGAGCCGCAGGCAGCCCAGCTCCCGGCCGCTGCCAGCCTCCAGGTCGACCAGCCGCTGCTGCAGCGCCGACTTGTCGGCCTCCAGAGTCCGCACCCGCTCGATGTAGGCGGCCAGGCGGTCATTGAGCTGCCGCAGCTCCTCCTTCTCTTGCAGCCGGCTGAGCCGCGTCGGGCTGATCGGAGAAGCGGCGGCGGCGCCGCGGCTGCGGCTCCCGCTCGCCGGCGTGGATGACAGCGGCGTGGCCATGGCAGCTCGGCCCGAGCCCCGCCGCTCCCAGCACCGCCCCGCGCAGGGCACCCGGCACCGCCGCTGAGTATAAATAGCGGGCAGCTGCCGCTGCGGCCTCCGGAGGTGGGCAGCTTAAAGGGCTACGGCTGCGCCCCGGGGCGCCGCGGCTCCCGGTGGATAATCTCTGCGCTTCGTTTTGGGTTTGCTCTGTTTTCTATGCACGCTTTGCCGTGTCTCGTTAGTTCAGCGGCGCTGATAGGTGAGGGCCGAGGAGGAGCAGCTCGGGAGCTCGGCGTTGTTAAACACTCTGCGTCGTTAAACTGGGGTCGGATCATACAGTCCCACATTTGGGAGGACGGATGCAGCACAGCTGCTGCTAGGCTCGGGCACACCGCGGCTCTGCGCTCTGCTTCTTCTGTCTGGGTCTTGCAGTTTGCTCAGCTGACGGCAACAGTCCCCTATCTTTGTTTGTTTGTTGCTTACCGGCGTTTTCAGGCTTCAGGCCCGGCTGTAGTACGTCGGTGCTACAGTGTTTCATTTGAAAGCCGATGTAATGAGTGAGAAGGAGAGGAGCGGAAGTCAAGACAAACGTGTGAAGCGGCCCACAAATGTTCGTGCCAATCACATTAAAAAAATCACTGTACAGTAGGAAAGTTGTTTTGGCACCTGTCCTGTGATAGTCGCTACTTTTCTCCCATAGCAAATTAACTGGTCCTTCTCATTTTCACTTACACTTTGGAGAGCAGGTGCTGCGTGGATCTCAATGAGTACGAGCATAAATATCTGAACTGTGAATTATGGGTTTGTTGCAGCAGTTAGAAGAAAGTTCCCTTAAGAGCTTGGGCTAATGCAATTTCCTGCAAAGGCAAATAGCCTTTGCCCAAATCTAGACCATTTATGCAGTCAGGAAGTTCTTTGGGCACCCTTCATTTCTTTTTATTTTGCCTGCTCTGGGGTACGTTTAATTGGTTTGGTTAGCTTCCTTCTAAGCAACACTTCTCAGCTGCTGCTGTCCCAGAGGTACCAGGAAGACATTAGATGCTGCACTTTCACACTGGAAGCATCTCATACTCTGTTGCTGCTTACTTCCAGTGTCCTAGCAAGGTGGTATTCACTGCAATCTGAGTGCGTGCTGTTCTCCTAAAGCCATGCTGTTGTCAGGAAACAAGCTGCAGTTTCAGGCTGATACGCTTGATTCACAATCTCAGGCTGTGCTGTTTGAATTTTCCTCTTACACTAATCTTTACAGCTTGATTCTACACAAGCAGGTGAACTCCTGCACTTACAGTCTAAATTGTATGAGCTGCACTCCAAAATACAGCTTTAGTGTCTTGACATCTTCTTAGAGTTCACTAAAAGGAAAGAAAGATGGATGTTATAAATGTTATAGAGGTAAGTTCTAACTCCACTCTCCAGGTCCAGAGGCACATCCCATGAACAACAAGGAAGTTGGCTCCAAGACAGTAACTAGGAATTTTAGAATTAGGCTATGTGTGCCCTGGTCCATGAAGTAGAGGAAGGAACTGGAGAACATATGGAAGGTTATCTGGAGAACATCAGGAGGTTATCTGAACTTCCTTACACATTTGTATAAAAAGCGTCAAGGCTACAAATGTATGTAGCACAGTAATGGTGTATGGCCAGACTGAGCTCTCTGGTTCTTGTCCTAGCAATAGCATGAGGAAATTCTTTTCTGCAAAGCAGTTCCAGTCTTTTTATTTTGCTATAACAAGTACTTGTTTGTTCTTCACTGCCAGTAGAAAACTCAAGTCAAGAAAAATAAAATGTATAATTCAAATCTGAATATGTGCCTCTAAGACCAAGATAGGTATGTCTGAGGGTATACTTAGCTTTGAAACCTCAGTCCTCCACAAAGAACACTGTGCTCATATGTCCTTGTCATGTTTGACAGTTGCATGCACTGGCCAGCTGTTCAAATACATTGTATGGGTTTGGAACAGACACAGACCAAAGCTAGAAATCTGCTATTCCAAGAATATTTTTCTTGCCTGCCAGGGCTTTGTAGCAGCACAAACAAAAACAGCTGGAAGAAATAGTCCAAAAATAGTCTGAGCCAGTTTTATCTATTGTGTGAAGGCATCTTAGCAGTGTGTTAGTGGAATCCAGTTACTGGTTCTTTTTCATTCTGTCTTTTTCTTCTTTTTTTTCAAGGACTGTATCTGCACTGCTTAGACCACAAATGGAGCTGGGGAATTCTTACAGAGATAACCCTATGCCATTTTTCCCTACTGTTTCTAGTATAAAGATGTCAGGACTGTATTAGGATTAAGAATAGATATAGAGCACGTCCGGAAAAGCTGTAGGAAAAGACTTATCAGGCTAAAGCACAGTATAAGCTTTTCTACAAATAGTTTATTTACAGAAAAATATAGATATGAGAGATCTGGACAATGTTGTAGATTATACAAAACTGGAATTAGAAAAAATGTAAAATATTCATGGACTTTTTTAGCATCTTTTTCAGATCTTAAGCTGGTAAAAGTCACTAGAAAAAAAAAAAAAAAATAGAGTGATAAAATAAGAGCCAGAAAACATCAACCAAATTTCTTGCTATCCTTTCCCTTATACATCTGCTAGCCAATTCTACCCATGTGTCAACAATCTGCTGACGTAGTTCCAAAATGCTGTTGAGGCTCTGAGTGCATTAATATGCCTTAATGGCCCTGACTCCTTTCAGCTGGGGCCACACACCCACACCTTTGCTCTTGGGCACAGGAACTCCAGGGACTCTCAGGTTGGGATGGTTTTCCTTTTGTGAGCTCAGCTGATGGGTAGACTGATTTTTAGGTTATGCTTATGTTTCCTTTTTTACTGTAACTCTCTCTGAGGTCTTTGCTTGTTACTGTTGCTCTCTCCAGCCTCTCTGCTCACCTTGCCTAGGCGTTGGTGCAGCGGTGCCCTGCTGGCCTTGCTCTCTGACCTGGCTCTGTCTGGTGGGAAGCAGCTGGCTCTGGCCCTTCCTGGGAGGGCAGTTTGTTGGAGCCCTGACTGATGTGGTCGTGGGTGAGTCCAGATTGGTTGGTAGAAGTAGCATTTTTTAGATGTCTTAAAGACATGATACAGAATGTTTAAATCTATGTCTACTTTTTAAGTCTTAAATACTTTTGAGACAATTTTCAGTAGCTTTTCAGTGTTTTTTTGTTTGTTTCTGACAATCATTCTCCCTAATTCATGAGTGTCCTTCCTAAATATATTTTGGAAACGAAGCAAGGTGTTACTGGAGAGCCTTCAGCTTTTGTGGCAATTCAAGGAGTCTGCATATGCAGCAGTAGTGCTATTTAAAATGTAAAACATAAGAATAAGGCCTTTGCCAAACAGCCTATTTACAGGCAGATGTTAGTGACTCACACACCTGGAGCTGATGAAACCAGATTGAGTCCTGTTAGCCTGCAGATGGTTGAAGGCTATTCTCACTAGCAGCACTGTGGATATGGAGGCTCCGTGAGAAAATTGCTGTTTGCTGACCAGAAAGGTAAAAGGGCAATTACTGTTTCTGTAATATTAGCAATAATATATAGAGGGAGACGTTTTTTCTGGATGACATATCTGCAAGTGTCATTCTCCTGTGCAATTCTTCAGCTTATGCTCCTACTTCTCTAACTAATTAAGCAGGACAAGTCAGCCAGCTCACAGTGGCTTTTGCCTATGTTGGAATAGCAGCCTTCCAGCAGCTGGTAGATAATAAAAGACTAGAAATGTATTTTAAGTATCTTGAAATAATTTGTAGTTGGATGCAAAAGTTAACAATAAGTTTTGTTTAGTGAAACATAGCATATGGATAATAGACCTGTTAGCAAAGTTTGTAGTTAATAACTGATAACATTAGGCTGTCCTATTTTCACTGGTGAACAAATTCCACCTGCATGTACAAATGCAGAGAATCATAGAATCACAGAATATCTTGAGTTAGAGAGGCCACAGAATTGTTTGAGTTGGAAGGGACCCTTAAAGGCCATCTGGTCTAAATCCCCTGCACTGAACAGGGCACCTGCAGCTGATCAGGTGCTCGGAGCAGTTGAGTGTCTGCAGGGACAGGGCACTGAGTCCAACTCCTGGCTCCACACAGGACTACCCAAAACTTAATCCACGTTCCTGATAATGTTGTCCAACCACTCCTTGAACTCTGGCAGCTTGGTGCCATGACCTCTTCCCTTAGGAGTTAATTTCAGTGCCCAACCACCCTCTCAGAGAAAGGAGTTACACATTAGGAACATCTTGTATTGGTACAGCAATGACTAGAATCTGGCTCCCTGTCCAAATGTATCTGCTCTTGGCCAGTCTTACATAGAATGTATCTCAATTTCTCTAAGGGATTTCTACACGGAATGAGAAAAAAGAGGTCATAGCTGAGGCACAGGTATGCAATAATACAGTTGGTCTATAGATTTTACTAATATCAGTAGCAGACTTTGAAGAGACTTCAGAAATTTTGACATTCTCTTAGTGTGGGGTAACAGAGCCAGCAAAGGAGGAAATTAACAGAAAAGTGGGAAATAAGTTCGTGGCTGTCTGTCTGCTTGTTTTCCAGCAACTATGTATCTCCAAAATGTCAGTGCGAAGCTTCAGAAAACATCTTTTCCTCCATCCACCAAGTTTTTCTAACCTTTCTTTATCCTCGTCCATTGTCAAGTAGGTTGTATTCAATTATGTCATCACTGCATCTTAATAAGAACTAGTACATCTGCTGGCTCCCACAGGAGCCAGGAGCCTCCTCTGATCCTCCACAACTAAGTCAAATCTGAGTCCCTTGTGACAATGAAATCACTTCCACATCTTGTAGTAGAATATAATAACAAAATGATCTTCATTATTTTTTTCCCAAGCAAGGCTGCTGAGTTGTATTGCATTCATTTTACAGAGAGCAGATAGCTTACCCTGCTCCTCTTGCACTTGACCCGGTAACTTCACATGAAGCTCTTGGCTGCAGCCAGCCTGTGCTGAGGAGAAGGGATGATTTTCCTCTGGGAGATTCAGAGTTCTGTCTCTTAATAAAGACTGTAGTCATGCAACTCCAGAAATTAGAGCAATTGACAGAGTGGCAGAAGG